TCGAATACAAATCTCAAAGGAACAAACTTCTAGCTTTGACGTAGAAATGGGCATCTAGTCTCCGAGGATAGGATAGGGCTGTGGTTTACTTGTATGGTGAACCTCTACAGATGTATATATATATGTAGTGTACACTTGTCAGTGTGTGTAATTCTCCTATCAATTAGCCTAGTCTATCCATCCATCGGTCAACGTCTATATTCAATCGGTCCAATCTGCTCTGTACAATGTTTATATAATAACAGCACAGCACTTATTCAGCAGCGTAAGATCGATCGTTGTAATGTATCGTTTTCAGTTATCAGATCTTTATAGTGGGAATTTAGCCCTTATCTAGATCGAAAATGACAAAGTTTGGGCAAATTTAGTCCTAATCTTAACTCTATGACGATATTTTATGAAATGGTTGGTACATTTGGCGAAAATATTGAGCCAATTTCTCAGCTGTATGCTGGCGAGTTAAGACAATAATTGACCCTTCGTGGCTCCCTCTTGTAGAAAATTGCAATACCAACCAGACTAATATGTGATCATTATTTCATTCCTATCACTCTTTCTGTCCAATCTGGGAATGAGTAATCGCTGGGTCGGGCACGGAATCGGGACCCCAATAGCGCCAATCAAAATACACTTGGCAGCCAAATTTCCGATATCATCGAACATTAACTTGTAACGGCAATTCGTTTGCCAAAATCCAACCATAATCTTGCTATCCGGAACACATCTCCACCCTCCTTTTGATTTACTCTTTTAGAATTATCACTTTCAATTATTTGTTACCATCTGTGACAAATACAACCATGAACAATTTCTCAAAACAAGACAGTTCCGGAATGAGACCGTCTCCGTTTTTTTGTTTTGTTTTTATAATGCCCCTCGTTCTGACGTCTTTGTTGCTCGTTATGATGTCAAATAAGATGTATAGATAAGATTGATAAAAAGCAAATTAAAATAATTTTTGTTAAAAAAGGGTTTTTTTATTTGTGATTAATGCCATACTAATTTGTTATTGATAATGGAGCTTCATTGTTACAATAATTGATCACTTCTCAGAAGGAATTCTGTCCGGAGTAAGCCAGTAAATACATATGTATATAAATGTGATTGTTTTTATATATAGATATGTATACGTGTATTTAATTCTTATCGAACTCATCCGGAATTGAAAAAAAAAACTCATTAATTAAAATATTAAATCCCCCAGAATTAAAGATCCCAATACATTAATACATGTTTCAATGGACCCTTCAATCTAGATGTTGATAGCACGCAGTGTTATATACTGAAATACACAGATTTACCATTTAATAACTCGTCAGATGGCTTGTTTAATGGTGTATTACTTAACGAAATACAGTGGTAGTACTGTTTATTGTTTTTTATTTATATATATATATATCTGTATTTTCGAAGGCAACAGGGCATCAGTTGCACAACTTATACTAAGCGTTTTCTCCACAATAAGATATCTGTATGTCTTAGATGAAAAACTAATTCTATTTATAAATAAATTTTCTCACGTTATCTTAGAGCACATGTACATATCATCAAGGGATACAAGTTTGTTAGGAATTACGATATATCTTTATAAAGCGGATTTTTTTACCCGACACTGACAACAGACTTTAGCACTACTAATTGCTGCTTTAATACTTTCTGTAATACAAAATATGCTTCATCACATCCCTTTGGTTTGCTTCCTCTTGGTGTAATCGACAAGAATTTTAAGAGTATACACTATTTGTTTCACGTGATGTATTACATAATCATTGCACGCAAAATGAATTATTTGCAATGTGAGAAAGTCCAAAATAGATTTTTTATAAACTATTTTTTCATTATTATTGCAACATGTTGGTAAAAAAACAAAACAAAAGACACAACAAAAACAACAACAACAAAAACAATGATATATCAACTTTATCAAGCTGGTGCCCTGTTTTGCTTATCTACCTGTGAGACAACAAAATGTCCTCTAGACGTTTTGATTTCTTTACCTCTAATCATAAATTGTTCAGAAAGTTTTATATATAGGTGACATACTGAATTAGTGGTGTAAATTGTAGCACACCCCTTTTCTGGAATTTTTGTTTCTGATCATAAATGTGCACCAATTATCATATAATATCTTTCTTAAACAGTTGAAATGCATGCTATATTTGTTATTTAATGCTCATTGTTATCAGATATTCTCTGTACTAAAGTCACTATCAATACCTTGTAATTGCAATCAATATATTTCAGAAACGCTACAAAATTATCATAATTATAACTAAACACGCAGTGCGAAGCGCGTTACTTGTATATAATACATTATATATACTGGGGGAGTTGACGGAGACAAAGTTTTTAAGTACATGTAAAAAAGTTTGGTTAATTCATTATCATATATTAACGAAAAAAAAAATGTATACCTCAATGATGGATGTAATTGATTTCTGTAATCAGAACTTAGTGAATTCTTGTCAAAATCATTATTTTTTCAAATCATTTGGTCTTTTTGACTTCATAATACTTTAAAAGTGGGATTGGCTTATAAAAAGTACATGTACCTGGTGATGATTGGCACACCTAGGAAATTATTAATACTGGTCACATTTAAACTTCAAAGATACGTAAGACGTACCGTTGATGATTTGTGACAATATCTAGATGTTAATTAGCTTGGTTAATTCATTATAATATATCAACGAAAACAAATAAAATGAATTACTTCAAAAGATATGTAGATATACAGCAGCTGATCGAAAATAAAATGATAAAATGCTATCTAAACATTGTATTTCACAATAATAATGATAACGATTAATGGAGAAAATGTTCGCCATATAACACTGGTTGAAAAAAAAATGTTTTAAAAAATACACATAGATTCTGAGTAACCTCCCCTTATCATAAACATAATTAAACATAAAACGTTGTTTGGTGCTGAAGATTAACATTTGAACAGGTATTCCGTGATAAATATTTAAAAGACTATATTTTATATTATGCAATTTTCTATCTTATATCATGGTGTCATGGTTATGATTTAAGTAAATAACTACGGAAATTAAACGGAAATACCATTGTATGATAAAACTTTTACTGCGGTTATCATCCATCATCATCACCACCACCACTAAAACATGGCAAATACCATTGTATGATAAAACTTTTACTGCATATAACATGGTAACACCACCACCACCTCCACCACCACCACTAAAACATGGCGACGGGCAGAGTCACGGAGACGAGAACCATCATCATCATCACCACTAAAACATGGCGACGGGCAGAGTCACGGAGACGAGAAACCATCATCATCACCACCACTAAAATATGGCGACGGGCAGAGTCACGGAGACGAGAAACCATCATCATCACCACCACTAAAATATGGCGACGGGCAGAGTCACGGAGACGAGAAACCATCATCATCACCACCACTAAAACATGGCGACGGGCAGAGTCACGGAGACGAGAACCATCATCATCACCACTAAAACATGGCGACGGGCAGAGTCACGGAGACGAGAAACCATCATCATCACCACCACTAAAATATGGCGACGGGCAGAGTCACGGAGACGAGAACCATCATCATCACCACTAAAACATGGCGACGGGCAGAGTCACGGAGACGAGAAACCATCATCATCACCACCACTAAAACATGGCGACGGGCAGAGTCATGGAGACAAGAACCATCATCATCACCACTAAGACATGACGATGGGCAGAGTCACGGAGACGAAAAACCATCATCACCACCACTAAAACATGGCGATGGGCAGAGTCACGGAGACGAGAACCATCATCATCACCACCACTAAAACATGGCGACGGGCAGAGTCACGGAGACGAGAAACCATCATCATCACCACCACTAAAACATGGCGACGGGCAGAGTCACGGAGACGAGAAACCATCATCATCACCACCACTAAAACATGGCGACGGGCAGAGTCACGGAGACGAGAAACCATCATCATCACCACCACTAAAACATGGCGACGGGCAGTCACGGAGACGAGAAACCATCATCATCAGCACCACTAAAACATGGCGACGGGCAGATTCACGGAGACGAGAACCATCATCATCATCACCACTAAAACATGGCGACGGGCAGAGTCATGGAGACAAGAACCATCATCATCACCACCACTAAAACATGGCGACGGGCAGAGTCACGGAGACAAGAACCATCATCATCATCACCACTAAAACATGGCGACGGGCAGAGTCACGGAGACGAGAAACCATCATCATCACCACCACTAAAACATGGCGACGGGCAGAGTCACGGAGACGAGAACCATCATCATCATCACCACTAAAACATGGCGACGGGCAGAGTCACGGAGACGAGAACCATCATCATCATCACCACTAAAACATGGCGACGGGCAGAGTCACGGAGACGAGAACCATCATCATCATCACCACTAAAACATGGCGACGGGCAGAGTCACGGAGACGAGAAACCATCATCATCATCACCACTAAAACATGGCGACGGGCAGAGTCACGGAGACGAGAAACCATCATCATCACCACCACTAAAACATGGCGACGGGCAGAGTCACGGAGACGAAAAACCATCATCATCACCACCACTAAAACATGGCGACGGGCAGAGTCACGGAGACGAGAAACCATCATCATCACCACCACTAAAACATGGCGACGGGCAGAGTCACGGAGACGAGAACCATCATCATCATCACCACTAAAACATGGCGACGGGCAGAGTTACGAAGACGAGAACCATCATCATCACTAAAACATGGCGACGGGCAGAGTCACGGAGACGAGAACCATCATCATCATCACCACTAAAACATGGCGACGGGCAGAGTCACGGAGACGAGAAACCATCATCATCCCCATCACTAAAACATGGCAACGGGCAGAGTCACGGAGACGAGAAACCATCATCACCACCACCACTAAAACATGGCGACGGGCAGAGTCACGGAGACGAGAACCATCATCATCATCACCACTAAAACATGGCGACGGGCAGAGTCACGGAGACGAGAACCATCATCATCATCACCACTAAAACATGGCGACGGGCAGAGTCACGGAGACGAGAACCATCATCATCATCAACCACTAAAACATGGCGACGGGCAGAGTCATGGAGACAAGAACCATCATCATCACCACCACTAAAACATGGCGACGGGCAGAGTCACGGAGACGAGAAACCATCATCATCACCACTAAAACATGGCGACGGGCAGAGTCACGGAGACGAGAAACCATCTTCATCATCACCACTAAAACATGGCGACGGGCAGAGTCACGGAGACGAGAAACCATCATCATCCCCATCACTAAAACATGGCAACGGGCAGAGTCACGGAGACGAGAAACCATCTTCATCATCACCACTAAAACATGGCGACGGGCAGTCACGGAAACGAGAAACCATCATCACCACCACCACTAAAACATGGCGACGGGCAGAGTCACGGAGACGAGAACCATCATCATCATCAACCACTAAAACATGGCGACGGGCAGAGTCACGGAGACGAGAAACCATCTTCATCATCACCACTAAAACATGGCGACGGGCAGAGTTACGAAGACGAGAACCATCATCATCACTAAAACATGGCGACGGGCAGAGTCACGGAGACGAGAACCATCATCATCATCACCACTAAAACATGGCGACGGGCAGTCACGGAGACGAGAACCATCATCATCATCATCATCACTAAAACATGGCGACGGGCAGAGTCACGGAGACGAGAAACCATCATCATCATCACCACTAAAACATGGCGATGAGCAGTCAGGGAGACGAGAACCATCATCATCACCACCACTAAAACATGGCAACGGGCAGAGTCACGGAGACGAGAAACCATCATCATCACCATCACTAAAACATAGCAACGGGCAGAGTCACGGAGACGAGAACCATCATCACCACCACTAAAACATGGCGACGGGCAGTCACGGAGACGAGAAACCATCATCATCACCACCACTAAAACATGGCGACGGGCAGAGTCACGGAAACGAGAACCATCATCATCATCACTAAAACAATTACTGGAGTCGGACGATATACTTAATATGCTAACGGACAATACCTGTATTGTAAACAAACTGATTTGTTATTTAACAAGTGTTATTCCGTGTGTACTGCCATAGATTAACATACAGGTATCCGGTTACAGCCGAGATCATTGTCTGATTAGTCGAACACCAGTTAACCATAAAAAGCCACTTTAATTAACTTTGATTAATATTGTTCTTAATATAGACATATAATGCAATTTTCTCGATTTATTTTTATTGATTGTATTTCGTTTTTTACGTTACGTTTTCTAGCTTTCCTTACATGAACTGACTCGTTTCGGTTATGATATCTCAGGTGTGTGTAAGGAAAAAAGAAATAAAAAGACACCGTATCGTCTCTTAAGTATATTTTCACATCAATCAAAAAATCGATATATGAAATAATTTCACACTTCATTTTATTTAATTTATAATGGCCGTGTCAATTATATTTTATCTTACCCAAAACATGGTTAGAATATCAATTGAATGCTTAGAATATAAATAAAATGCAAGGAATATAGATTGAAATAATAAAAAAATTACATCGTTATATAATGATATAATTATGTCTCTTGTCGCCTTTATTTTTAAGCTTTATATAAAGGAGTTATATATAGTAGAGAATAAATCCGGGTTTTATCACAGAAAGGCGAAAGAGAAAGTGGTCGTTCACTTGTTACTGAAGTAGAACAGGTCTTTTGCACCAAAAAAGAGAAGTTTGAGCAGCTAAATGGACGGTTATCATACTAGATTTATAGGCTTAAGGAAAGTTTAAAGTAGAAATGAAGGCTAATGGGTAAAGGCGTCAAATTTCTGGTTAATATTTCTCATCTTCGCTGGTGAAGATGTTATCGACAAAATCATTTTAATTGGTCTGAAATTATCGTTTAATCACATGTCGATTTAAAGAACATTTTTTAAAAAATGCCTAACATTATAAAGAATTTTAAAACGTTGTACCTGATATGGTTACTCGCACAGCTAACACAGGCATGTAGCAAACTCATATTGTGTTTTTTTCTAATTTTAATGTGCAGCTTTTCTTGTGCGTTTTGAAACAGATTTAGATATTTCACTAAGTAGGGTCCTGAAGCGCACTGTGTACAATCAAATAGAATATTTGATTTGTTGTAATGATTCCAATGTTGACACCTGTATTGTTTAATTGTTAATAATATTGACATAATATGTTTTGCGAAAAGTGTTTATATTTAACACGGATCTCTGTGATTTGGAACAGAATATATAGGATCTTAAATTAATTATTTTCATATAAGATTTTATAAAACGAGTCTCAGAAGTTTACATTTTTGCGAGTCTTGGCGAGCAAAGATTAAAACTTGGAAACAAGTTTATAAAAACCTCCTATGGTATGATAAAATTTTAAAATACCCTTTTTATCACATATCTCAGAAAAGTTACGTTTGACAAGTTTCAAAAAGTTACACTTTGACAGGTTTCAAAAAAGTTACATTTTGACAAGTTTCAAAAAGTTACATTTTGACAGGTTTCAAGAAGTTACATTTTGACAGGTTTCAAGAAGTTAAATTTTGACTGGTTTCAAACAGAGGCAGCCAATTTGTTGTGCTATTTTCAGTTCATGACGTAACTTCGTTGTCTATATTAAACGTTGTAAAATCCCAAATGATTTCTGGCAGGCACAGCCACTGAAAACACCCCATGTTATAATACTATTACTTGTAGCTACAATGTAGTCAGGAACGTGTAGTGGTGACAGATCCTCATGAAGAAGAACTTGCTGACACCGATATCTGTGACAGTTTGTCCGCGGGCTTCCGACACCTTCTTTATACCTTTGATGATGCCTAATTCAATTTGTATTTTTAAAATTCTACATAAACATTTATGCTTGTATTGTTAAAGGAGAAAACCAATCTGTTAGATTGTTTACTAATCGGGAGCCAACAATAACCGCAAGCTTATCTGTAAACAAAAGAACAATAAGTAAGGGTTTTCAAATTAATCGGAATTTAATGTTATCCGATTTACTTACTTGTATCAATATATTTAATTCTTTCTTGTAAGATAAATTACATCTCTCTGATTAACAAAACTATCCCCTGTATATCTGTAGAATTATTTACTTTTCGAATTATTCGGATAATTCGTCCGCTGTTGGTTTTACTTGTTATAGTATAATCACAGGTAAACACGTTAATCGGCTCTTCCAGTGTATGTAAAACGGCTAGGTAAATACGGATGTACACCGATATAATTACATTACCGTTCCTACATTGTCAGAGAAATAAATTAATTATCTAGGGTTATTTAATAAATTATAAATTCAAAGAACGTTTATCTTGCCTGCAGGAACAACACACTAGGATATAGGGGATATACATGTAAAGTGATGTATTGTATGTAACAGATTGGGCTTGACAACTTTTGAAAGTTTAAATAAATAATCAAAACACTTTTTAAAATCATCTTCAACACAACTAATTACCCTCAAAGAATATGAATTTGTCTATGCATTACAATTGTCATAGATATTTATCTGTTTCAATATTTCCAATTATTTTGTTTGAGTATAATTATTTATCATTTGATTCTGATAAATCTAATAAGGCGATATGATATTCTATCCGCACTACAGAAGCCAAAGTAATGTGATGTATGTTTATACATGTTATTGTCGCTGGATACGTATGTGCGTGATAATCACAAGGTACACGTGTTCTTAGATACATGTGTAATATTTTTGTGCTTGATAATTACTTGAGATTAATGTACCTGCATTGTTAAAAGGTACTCTAAAATGATATAAAAGTTAATGGATACATCTGAACACTATACATCAATATAATGTAGTTACAGCGTACATTTGTACTATGTAAATAGGTTTACAAATTACATACATTGTGTGTAAATACCAAGGTGAATGCTTAAGCAAAATGCAGCGATGTTACCATAATTTGGTGTGTTTATGAAAAAAAACCCACACACAGACACATACATACACAGGAATGGAAAGCGCAGCAAAGTAGTAATTGCTATGGATCTTTTGATAATTATTTTAAAAAGAAACGGTTTGATACAAACGTGTGTATTTAACTGCCGAGTTTCAATTATATCGCCTTAGTTACATATTTTATGTAAACGCGAAAAACCCAAAGTAGTTATTCTGATGTGGTACCCAGGACTGTCCCTAAATAACATCCGCTGTAAATTTGTTTGTTACACATATTTTATATTATTTCTTATGAAGGTTAGTGCCATCTCAATATTCATTCTTTGTATATTTGGACCCAGTCTTTGAAAAACTAATGACAGCCGTTTATTTCACCAGACCAGTGTTTTTGTACACGATGCTCACTCTCCGTGTATAAATTATCATACTTTGAGGCCTATGTTGAGTTTCTTGATTTCCTGGATTTCTTTGTTTTTTTCCATAGCACCACTGGAGATCCTTATTTATAACCATCAGGACAAACACATATAAGGTACAGTGTTCTTTGATTAGGTAAAGCTGTAAATGTGTGGTAATTATAGGTGTCGCCATTTGTCTGTCTTTTACAAGTGTATTATTTGGGGATATACGCTAAATGTGTTATCTAAGGATTGACATTAAGTGTGTTCTGTGAGGGTGGACGCTTAGTATGTTATCTAAGGATTGACACTAAGTGTGTTCTGTGAGAGTGTACGCTTAGTATGTTATCTAAGGGTTGACACTAAGTGTGTGTTCTGTGAGGGTGGACGCTTAGTATGTTATTCAAGGATTGACGCTACGTGTGTTCTGTGAGGGTGGACGCTTAGTATGTTATCTAAGGATTGACACTAAGTATGTTCTGTGAGGGTGGACGCTTAGTATGTTATCTAAGGGTTGACGCTAAGTGTGTTCTGTTAGGGTGGACGCTTAGTATGTTATCTAAGGGTTGACACTGTGTTCTGTGAGTAGGACGCTTAGTATGTTATCTAAGGGTTGACGTTAAGTGTGTTCTTTGAGTAGGACACTTAGTATGTTATCTAAGGGTTGACACTGTGTTCTGTGAGTAGGACGCTTAGTATGTTATCTAAGGGTTGACGTTAAGTGTGTTCTTTGAGTAGGACACTTAGTATGTTATCTAAGGGTAGACACTAAGTGTGTTCTTTGAGGGTGGATTCTAGAATGTTGTTTGAGAATCGACGCTTAATGTGTTTCGTGAGGATCAACACTAAGAGTAACTCCATAGCCTACTCAACAACAAATAACGAAACAGGGCTTAAATCCCCCTCCCCCCCCAACTAACTACATATATAATACATGGAAACCCAATATTGTAAATATCACAATGAAATATCCAATAATATATAATTCGTATGCGTAGAAACATACATATATTATGGTATACTTGTCATTCAATCTTAAACATAGATAACATGAATTTATGATGCTAAAGCATCCCATCAAATATAAATATTATTTATTATCATCCTGGATCTTCGATAAAGATGCCACAAATCGTCCATGCTCTGTGACTACGAGTCAATTGGTCGATCATTTCCGAAATAATTGTTTCCTATTGTGTTCAAGAGAACGCATAATTTCCCTTTTTGATGGCAAAAGTTGTGATTCATTTCTAACGCCAGTCTT